GGGACAATTTAGAGTTATCAATTAACCTCACAGTCACGTTTTTTGGTCTGTGGGAGGAAGCCGGAGTACCCGGAGAGAACCCACACATGCACGGAGAGAACATGCAAACTCTACCGAGAAAGGTCCCCGGACCGGGATTTGATCCGGTAACGTTCTTGCTGAGAGGCATCAGCTCTACCAACTGAGCCACCGTGCCGCCACAGTGATTTTGATAATCATCTTGCTGATCTTTACATTCCATAGACCATAAACCAAAATTGTTAAGGGGTCATGGGAGTTCTTCACTCAAGGCATTTTGTGGGTTCTTCTGCATAGTGTGTGGAACCTGGTCTAGTTAAATAGGCTATCCAGTTTCTGTAGAACTTCAGTAAGAGATGTATTCAATCTGGTTTGGGAARTTCAGGGTCTTGTTTCTGCTTTTTACAGATGACCTGCTTCTGTTGGTTTCTTGAAGCCATGGCCTGTGCTGAAGTAGTTAACAGCTGTTGGCAGCCAGACTCGGTCTTAAAGAGAAATTAAACTGACACACAACCTGTGGTACATGCAAACTGTGAGGTCAAGACAACAAATTTGCCACTGACAAACTTACTGCTTTTCTTCTTTTAAACAACAGGCGTCTCTACAAAACGTACTAACATAAGGCAGGAGTGGAGTTGTGCACAAGAACTATGGTTTTCATACAAAACATAATGGGCAGCTGTGGTGGAGTGGTTAGGGGAGTCGTCCTGGAACCGGAAGGTTGCTGGTTCGATCCCCCGTCCAGCCGTCTCAGTCGTTGTGTCCTTGGGCAAGACACTTCACTCACCTCGCCTAGTGATGGTGGTCAGAGGGTCCGGTGGCGCCGGTGCATGGCACCCCCACCTCTGTCAGTGTGCCCCAGGGCAGCTGTGGCTACAGTGTAGTTTGCCATCATCAGTGTGTGAATGTGAGTGTGAATGAGTGAATGTCTGTTAGTGTAAAGTGCTTTGGGGTCCGGAGGGACTTGAAAAGCGCTTTATAAGTTCAGTCCATTTACCAAAAGGTTTCTGTTTACCTAAACAGTTTTTGAAATTTTTATGAATTATTTGCAATGATTAGACTTTAGATTATGTTCAATCAAATGGATGCTTGTAAAAACAAACCTGCTAGCAGACTCGTCTCTGATGCTCTTATGGTTTACAATTTATAATCAGGATGTGCACGCAGCACGACAGACCAAAGTGCCTCAGACCCCTCCACACAACAGGTTGCTGTAACATTAGTTTTGGTGAGATATTCCATTGGTGTGTCTAAAGGCCCTGTCACACTATGACGTTTTGGACAACTTATGCATTTTTTCCCAACACACTGGCACACGCTGAGGAAGCGAAAAAAAAAGCATGAATTAGCACCTTCATTTGGATGTGATCATACCGTGTTCCTAATGACTTGAACAGATATAAAACATATGAGTAAATTATCCCTACCTTAAACATAACATGTACAAGCTTATTATAACGTCTTTAGACTTCTGCAGCACATATGTGCAACATTAGTGGAACTTCTGCAGAGCCTCTGCGCAGCGTGATGGAGGAAAATGAGACGTATGCAGCTGTTACACAGTGACGCACAGCAATAGCTTATGAAAAAATCTACAACAAGTTGATGGAAGTTAGGCATAATTTTAGGATAACTTACCAACACATTAATATAAGAGGGCATACTTTGTCATACGGAGATCCCAGCACAGAGTTTTAAACATGCTCAAAATTTTCACCGTATGTGGAACAATTAGTGATCAGTTTTACACACGTTTCAGGTCTGTTCCAGATCTGTTTTATTTATATATGCTCACACATGTTACATGAACGTTGCTCATACGTGGACATTTGTCAGGAATAATTATGGAGCACACACATAACTTCTGTCAGAAGGTGTGGGCGTGTCCTTCGATGATTGACAGACAGCTGTCAACATGTTTTTTTATGAGTGGGGCTCATAAAAAACAATATATCTATCAGACTGAGTTTTAAAATACGAAAAAAGAATGAGCAGAGAGCAAAACAAAGCTGACATATTTTAAAACCAGCTGTCAGAAAAGACGATCCACAGAAATACTGTCATACTCCACCTGAGAGGACGAGGTGGGCGCAGGAGACAAAGCTGGTGGTCTTTAAAACAGAAACCTGAGCCGCTGTGGCAGCATCGATCAACAGCTGTGTGTGATCTGGCACACGTGGAGCGTTATCGTGCCACAATTGGATCATCAGCCACAGAGCGCAGTGGCCGCAGAGCGCCTGAAGCCCACAGCCTGGCTCGGTTGAGAGTCGCTCAGGTAATCGCGCGCGCACTCATCAGCTGTGGCGGTGTTTATACTTGGCGGTGGTTAAGTTACGTTGTTGTAATTTCTCCAAAAGGACAGATGGAAGTATATTTTATATTTTATGAAATGTTGTAAATAGGAGATCAAAAGCGTGACGAGCAACTGTTTGAATGGTGCGCAGCGCTAACAGCAGCCCACCCAGATCACTGTGCCTCGGGGGTGCGGTTCCGCTCAGCTGCACGACGCTGACTTGCTTTACTTGTTTTGAGAATTAAACAATACTTACAGCAAAACATATATTTGTTGGTTATGATCAGGATTAAAGTAAAGGCGTGGCCTTTTTTTTGCGCCACAACCAGCTGTTCTTTCTGTCAAAGTGTCAGGTTTAAAGTTGATCATATTTATCTGAAAATTTTAATTTAATACAGAATTACAAGATTTTAAACAAGGTTCTGGTGAAATAAACTTGTTTGTATTTAAAACCAGACTGAGACATTATTTTGATCAATGCAGTTGGTATAATATGAAAAAATTACATATTCAATTC